GGTAGATTGTTCCAGAGGTTAGGTGCCACCACAGAGAAGGCTCTCCCCCGGGGGTCGCCAGCCGACATTGTCTGGCCGATGGCACCCTGAGGAGGCCGTCTCTGTGGGAGCGAACTGGCCAGTGGGAGGCAATTGGTGGCAGAAGATGGTCCCGTAAGTACCCCGGCCCTAATCCATGGAGCGCTTTAAAGGTGATCACCAACACCTTGAAGCGCACGCGGAAGTCCACCGGAAGCCAATGCAGCTTGCGCAGGAGAGGAGTCACATGTGAGTGCTCCCATAATCCCCCGCGCGGCCGCATTCTGCACCAGTTGGAGCCTCCGGGTGCACCCCAAGGGGAGCCCCATGTAGAGAGCGTTACAATAGTCCAGACAAGAAGTGATGAGTGCTTGAGTGACCATGCGTAGGGAGTCCCAATCCAGAAAGAGGCGCAACTTGCGTATCAGGTGAACCTGATAGAAAGCCCCCCAGCCACGGCCATCATATGCTCTTCTAAAGACAGCCGTGCGTCCAGGATGACGCCCAAGTTGCAAGCCCATTCCGTGGGGGCCAATGATTCACCCCCAATAACCAGCGATGGCGCCAGCTGGCTATACCGGGACGCCGGGAAGCCACAGCCACTTGGTCTTGGAAGGATTGAGTCGAAGCCTGTTTCTCCCCATCCAGACCCGCACGGCCTCCAGGCACTGGGACATCACTTCCAAGGCATCGTTGGGATGGTCTGGGGTGGAGATGTACAGCTGAGTATCATCAGCGTACTGATGAAACTCCACCCCAAAACCACGGATGATCTCACCCAGCGGCTTCACATAAATGTTGAACAGGAGGGGCGAGAGGACCGACCCTTGTGGCACCCCACAAACAAGGTGCCTCGGGGTCGACCGATGCCCCCCTGTCAACACAGATTGCGACCGGTCGGAGAGATAGGAGGAGAACCACCGCAAGACGGTGCCCCCCACTCCCAGTCCCTCCAGCCAGCGCAACATGATACCATGGTCGATGGTATCAAAAGCCACTGAGAGATCTAACAGGACCAGGATAGAGGAATAACCCCTACCCTGAGCCCTCCAGAGATCATCCACCAACGCGACCAATGCCGTTTCTGTGCTGTACCCAGGTCTGAAACCAGACTGGAGCGGATCTAAATAGACAGCTTCATCCAGGTATTGGGGAAGCTGTTGCGCCACCACACTCTCAACAACCTTCGCAATAAAATGAAGATTGGAAACTGGACGATAGTTAGCCAAAACAGCCGGGTCCAGGGAGGGCTTCTTGAGGAGGGGCCTCACAACCGCCTCTTTTAAGGCGGCCGGCAGGACGCCCTCACTCAAAGAAGCATTAATAATCCCCTGGAGCCAGCCTCATGTAACCTCCTGGGAAGCCAGCACCAACCAGGAGGGACACGGGTCCAATAAACATGTGGTCGCGTTCAGCCGTCCCAAGACCCTGACCACGTCCTCGGGAGCCACAGGATCGAACTCCTCCCAGATAACACTCTCAAGGCCTGCCTCAGTCATCTCGTCTGAACTAACCCAGTCAGCGGCCAAGTCTTCCCAAATCTGAGTTATTTTATCATACAGATACTGTACAAAATCCTCAGCTCGGCCCTGCAAGGGGTCATCCCACGCTCCCAGATGGAGAAGGGAGCGGGTCACCCTAAACAGGGTGGCTGGGCAGTTATCTGATGACGCAATAAGAGTGGCAAAATAGCTAGATTTCGCTGCTTTTATCGCCACTAGGTAGGTCTTAATATGAGACCTTACCAGTGTCAAGTCAGATTCGGATCAGCTGGCCCTCCAACTGCTCTCTAGGCATCTTTTCCGGCGCTTCATCTTCCTCAGCTCCTTGGAGAACCAAGGAGCTAAGTGAGTTTGGTGCCGGGTCAGAGGCCGCACGACACGGTCCAAAGCCCCGGCGGCCGCACTATTCCAGGCAGCCACCAGGTCTTCAGGTGGGTCGTGAGCCAGAGTCTTAGGAAATGGCCCAAGCTCCATCTGGAACCTATCAGGATCCATCAGGTGCCTGGGGCAGAACCACCTGGTCGGCTCCACCTCCCTGCGACTGGGTGCGGCAGTCAGAAGGTCAAGTTGAAGGACCGAGTGGTCAGACCATGACAAGGGTTCAGTGCCTATATCCCCTGTATCAAGGCCACTCAACCACTGACCAGAGATAAAAACTAAGTCCAGAGTGTGTCCACCTATGTGAGTAGGGCCATGAATTACTTGGGTCAGGTCCATGGCCATCATGGAAGCCATGAACTCCCGAGCTACCTCAGACGTTTCACCAATAGATGGCAGGTTGACCACAAGTCTAGGGGTATCAGCCACCACCTCGGCTATGACATTGAGGAGTTCGGGCAGGGTCGTTGCCACATGGCAGGGAGCCAGGTACATGATCAACAAACCCATCTGCACCCCACAATCCCACTTCACAAAAAGGGACTCACATCTGGCTATCTGAGGTACAGTGGTCTCCCTCGGATCAAGGCCTTCTCTTAGAATGACCGCTACCGCCCCTGCCCCTGCCCTGAGCTCTCAGCTGATGAAATGCATGGAAGCCTGGTGGGCACATATCCACGAGGGGAACTCCCCCTCATGGCCCAACCAGGTCTCCGTAATGCCTGCCAGGTCCGCTCCCCCCCTCCTGAATAAGGTCACAAATGAGGAGGGCCTTATTTACTACGGACCTGGCATTACACAACAACAGCCGGAGACTCGGGCCCTCTGACTCTGAACAGCCTGGGGAATGGGAAGAGCTAAGGGGACCGGGGCATGCAATCGCTCGAAGATAGCGAATGCGTGCCCCCACCACATGATATGGCCCCCTGCTCCCGCCATACCTGCCCCTCCCACTCAGTGTATTAAGAGAGAAGCCCTCAGCAGAGGGCATTCTAACAGCCCTCTTTCCCCCAGAGTCCATACCCCCCGTGGCACCATTAACTGCCGGGCCAGTCCCCATCCCCCGTGGGTTTTCCCCAAAACTCACATAACCTTCCCACCCTCCAAAACCCCTTAAAAGTCTATTTAAAAATGTCCTTAAAAAACCCCTCAAACCCCTTTTTGCGACATGCCACCTCTCGGGGTCCCAAAACCCGTCATTAACCATACACCATCTGTAGCATTATCATAGAAAAACACTGCAACAATTCATCTGGAGTGAGATAAACATATCATCCAAGGTTTGGAAATATTAATGAAGACAATACTTGCATCTGATAAATTGCTTAGTTGCTATGGACAATAAAACCATATGCAAAGCATGTAAGATCAACCTTAATAATTAATGCAACACATTTGTAACAGAAAGTAACAAATTTGAGTTTACATCAAATCACAAACAAATGTTGCCCTGAGCCAACAGTTAGCAACTGATATGAAAATGAATTTTCACATGTCTGCAAATCCTTCTAAGAAATCAATGAAATTATATCTATTCAAACTAAGGGTAGAAATGGGAAATCTATTTTTTTAAAAAAAGAGGGTTGGTTCCAGAGTTCCCAAGACAGGGATTTCTAAACATAGGATTTCTAACTATTGTTAGAAATTGCAAGTTTTAAAACTCATTCAGGAGAATTGGAGAATCCAAATAATATTGGAGCTGATATTGCAGTTATTTATTTGATATTTATTTTTTAAATTTATATCCTGTTCATCTCACTATCCAAAGTGAAGGTGGTGGGCATATTACAGAGATATAAAAAGCATAAATAAAAAAATCATTACAAGCATTAAAATTAACAATTAAGTAAAGGTTAAAAGCAAAAGTTATACAAAAAAGAAAAAATATTTTAAAATGGTACCCTGCCTCCAGGAAACCAAATTGCCAAGCTCAGAGCTCAAACCAACAGCCTAGAATAGCTTATGATATGACAAAGCATTTCTATATTGAGACTAAGGAAAACTAGTGGACATATCCATGAAGTCACAGAGTTAAATCTGATTCAGAAGCTTTACCTTTTACGTCAATCTACTTCAAGAAAAGGTACACTAGCATCAATGCATTTCACAGACTTACTGGTACTCTGAAATTTAGAGATTATACTTAGTATCATATTCTAAACCCCAGTAAAAAAATAAGGAATATTTAATTGAATTTTAAATTTGTTTCACTACACCTTATACTTTAATTTCAAGTGTATTTTATGTATGTAATTTTATGTATTTGCAATATATATGTTACTTTTCTTCTAAGTGGATAAGCATATAAATGGTTATATGTACAAACTGAATCATTATCACAGCCTCATAAGGAATTTTGGGCATGACTAGTCTTGTGAAAACAAGGTATAAACACTCAAATTTGAATCTGAGCCTCTTACAGACCTAGTTGAATGCTTTAAATATTACATTACTTTAATTCCCTAATAGAGTAGAAGAATGAGTACAATGAATATACATAGAATTGTATTGTTAAGTACAAAATTTAATTCCAAGAAACAATAGATAGAAATGCATCTGACTGTTGGATTGATCTCAAAGAATTTGAGGCCACTCATGTTTTTAAACAATTTTTCTTTCTAGTCCTAAAAATTGAATTTATAACATTGTCATTCTAACGCACTACCACATTATTAGAGCACAACTATTAATCTGTATCATGCAATAAAACATAAAAGTTGTAAATCTAATAAAGCATTTTTATTTAAAGCTCAATGTTAAAAGGTTTTCATCCAGATGAATATTACTATTGCTGCTGCATATACACATGCATGCACCTACTCACACTTATCTAGAAAACTACAAATTCATTCAGCTAATTAACTATTCTGTCTTAGAGGAAAGGACACACAAAAGTTCTAAGCCTTCTTTGTTATTACTACATAATGTGCCATGCTCTGGAAAAAAAAAAGAACTAAGCAGAATATTTTTTTTCTAATAATACCAAATTGAACACAAAGTTCCTACAGAAAAAAAAATGATATTCCACAAAGGAGAGTTATAATTTATAAGAAAGTTATAATCAATAATTGTGAAGTGAATCTTGTTTGCCTTTTGCCTTACCTCTATCACTGAAGTCATCCACAAGAATAATTTCTGCTATCAAGCTATTTGGTGTCCTGTTGATAATGCTGTGTATAGTCCGCAAAAGTGAAGTCCAACCTTCATTATGAAATGGTATAATTATACTAGTGTTTGGAAGCTTCTCCAAGTATACCTTGTCTTTACAGCTGAGGATGAAAAAAAAGAGGTACCTTGTAAGAATATAAAAAAGGAGAACTGCATTTTCTCATTTATTACTTTTTCCCAGTAAATATAAATATGATATACAAACAGATAATGATTTTTGTAATAAAAATCCTCTACCACATTATCAGTATTGGACATTCAAAATCAATCTATTCTGAAGAACCAGATTTTTGTTGTTCTTGCTAAGACTGATTTATACTGTTTGAAATGAAAATTCCTTATTTCAGTGAAATATTTCATTTTAGGTAACATATAATATAAAATATAAATATGTAATATAAAAAATAACCACAAGCCAAACTTTTATTTCAGAATTCTCCAAGGTTACTTTATACAGTATGGTAAACTTCACATAATAATGAATAAAAATGCATTCACAATTTGTTTGCACTCTAGCAGATGCAAATATCTATTGTTCAGTTTTCTGAAAACTCTAATATTATTTTATTTATTTGTATCCTGCCTTTATTATTTTTACAAATAACTCAAGCACACACAGACACACACACGCACACACACACACACACATTAAAAAGAGATATCTGACAGGAAATTGTTGCCCCAACATCTTTGGAAGGTATGAAATGGATAAGCTATATAAAAGTTGTTTAACTGAAATGAGAATTATATAAGTGATTGTCAGACAATAATATACAGTATGTTATTTTATTCAATGTGAGCTTTCTATTTTATTTACAATTTAATTTATTTTTATATGTGGAATACTATGGTTTTGTGTAATAAGAGGTTTCTCATTTGATTAAAATCAGCTAGTTTCCTTCATAGTATAAGAGGCTCTTTTGAAGATGTGCCTGTTTGCCAGAAGCTTGGCAAAGCTATTTGCAGGAGATGACTTTCTGTTTTTTACTTCATTCCAAACAGGGAGTAAAATTGTAATAATGTTCAGATTCGGACTAATTTGAAATGGCTGATTGAAATCCAGAACACTATTTTCTGAGTATTTTCTCGAATAGAGTATGATTATTTAGACAATATCTTGCTTCACAACCTCCTTGCTTCTGCCCGCAGTACAATCTGAAGATTTATAACTCTGAAGTTATAACAACATGTAATCATAATCCTGTAAATGTCTTTCAAATGTACCACTATTTTATTTATTCATCATTTCACAATCAAGTGACTCAGAGTGGTGTAGAACAGTTAAAAACAAAATGTATTAATTAATATTAATATTAAAAACTTTTAACATTATAAAAGAGAATAAAAAGACATTTTTACTTGGACCATTTGTTTGAAACGATATAGGCTGTCCTGCTTGAGCAAGAAATTGGACTAGAAGATCTCCAAGATCCCTTCCAACTGTGTTATTCTGTGAAGAGTAATATATGAGGATGGAAGAGAAAATGAATACACTCTTTATTGATTAGGTCCTTTAGTTTTCTCTCAAATAACATATCATAGTTCTTATTATTTCAATCAGCTTTCAGTTCAATGAATCAAAAACATCAATTCATCATTTCCCCAACCTAGGGATAAATTGCCATATAGGATTTGCTATTTTAATCATTTTCAGATAGCTACAATTAGGCAGGAAATTTAGGATTGTAAATCTTATATTTTCTTGTGTGCATCTAATCTGTGGATAAGCAGAAATTCAATTTATAAAAGTAAGTAAAACAGAATTATTTAATCTCCTTTACCTATAATCACTCATGCCCTCCTTCATATACTGTAAATGCTTTTAGTTCTGCAATATTCATTAAACTGAGTAAATTTGACGTGTCTATCTCTGGAAAGTTTGTGTACAGAGGCATATGGAAATGGTTTTGAAGAAAGAATAACCATTATATAAGTATCATCTTAGCCCTTACAAAAAGGAGCAGGTGAGAAAAACTCAAGTTTACCTTCAGGTTTTCAAGATTTTGCTATTATGCCCTATAACAATAGTGCTCCAGTGGTTCATGTATTGTCTGCCTTCTAACACGATCTACCTGAATTGGCTGCTATTTGTGCTGGAAGTGAAGTGTAACAAAATGTGGTTGAAGCATAGCTGTTGTTTTCTGTGATTGGTGTGTCCATTGGAGGTAAGGTTCCTAAATTGGCTTACGATTAGCAGTTCCATCATTCAGCACAAAACTCTTGGTCCTTTTCTTTCCTTCTGCTTATAGTCTTTATTAAAAAGCCTTAAAGTGAAAGGCAGGGAGTTGGTAATCTGATGTTATATGTGACCCAGACATATAACTGTATTTTATATGATACAGATAAAGCAGGAGTGGAGAGAGAAATTGAACCACACTTTATATAAGGATGAAATAAACCTGATATATACACAAGCTCTGTACATTAGGAACCAAACTGAATGGTCTTGAAAAGTCTGCCTGAGAGAATAAGCAGAATATCAGAATTCTGCTGGCTGGTAAAGGAATTCTATATGCAGCAATATTGTTGAAGTCTTATATAATATAAGCCTCACTAATACAATTCTAACAGTGCAACTAAATGCTTAGAGTAATCAGCACTACTAAATATAAAATGTAAGTGCAAGTATATCTCTAGAGAAATAAGCTTGTATCAGCCGACAAGTAAAAGTGAACATTCAAGTATAAGTGGAAAAGCCGAAAAGCTATTTTATGAACTACTTAATAAGGCACCAAACATATCTGTATATTGCTAGCAACAAGATAACATTTAGAAGTTCAACATTTTACAAGAATGTTGAAATAGAATTTCAGTAATGAAGTTGAAATAATGAACAAAAAGTGAACATTTTTTCTTTTTAGTATAATGGATTGGGTACTGAGGTTAGTTGATCAAAACATTGAGATTCAAAAGCAACAAAACAATTTTCTTGTTTTGTTTATTGGCTGACACTCAAAACTTGTTTTGTTTTACTGGCTGACACTCAAATAAACAATAGCATTTACCTATTGAAGGCAGTGTCTAAGTTGCATCACATTGTCATATTGAAGTACACAATAGGCAACATTTATGTTGTCATGTCATAATGCATGTTCCATCATTTCTCCCCCACCCTTTCCTCTTTCCAAGGATGCCTATGAATACATATTTCTCTCAGGACAAATGTGACTAATGAAAAGACGGATGAAGGGAAAATAGCCACAGTGCCCCCTCTTTCACTTATGCCTTGCTAAGATTCCATCTAGCAACCAGTGAGAAGCAAGTCCTTTAAGAGGCAGCTTGGTTTTCTGCCAGGGAAGTCCACACATGCCCATTTAGCTAAAGGTAATCATTAAGCCATTGCGTAGAGAAACTTGACTTGTATAGTAGTTGTTGTTAGTTGCAAAGTCGTGTCTGACCCATCGCGACCCCATGGACAACATTCCTCCAAGCCTTCCTGTCCTCTATCATCCCCCAGGAGTCCATTTAAGCATACGCCAACTGCTTCAGTGATTCCATCCAGCCACCTCATTGTCTGTCATCCCCTTCTTCGTTTGCCCTAAATCGTTCTCAGCATTAGGCTCTTCCCCAGTGAGTCCTTCCTTCTCATTAAGTGGCCAAAGTATTTGAGTTTCATCTTCAGGATCTGGCCTTCTAAAGAGCAGTTAGGGTTGATCTCCTCTAAGTCTGACTGGTTTGATCATCTTGCATCCAAGGGACTCGCAGGAGTCTTCTCCAGCACCATAGTTCAAAGGCCTCAATTCTTTGATGTTCAGTCTTCCTTATGGTCCAACTTTCACAACCATACATGGATATATACATGCATGTATTAATTGACTGCATTAGGAGATAACAACAGCAGCAGCCCATAGGTGATAAAGAAACTCCTGCAACAGCTGAGGCAGGGACTTCAGAGATCAAGCCAGCTAGGAGAAATTATAGCAATTGCCAAGTAGCCGAAGAGAAGGCTAAGAATGTGGGAAAGTAATCTAGTACTAACAGTGGAAAATGGCACTGAGAATGGCAGGAAGGAAGGCATTAGCAGCTGGGAAGACCTCAGAAGTACAGATGGGGTGGAAAGACAGCTCTGACTGCTTCAGAAGAAAATGGCAGCAGCTGTATTGTCAAGTGAAACAGAGAATTTGGGAACTAATAGCTGTGGCAGATCTTGCTGACCTCTGCACTCCAAAAACAGAAGACCATACAAGAGCGGAGTGAGTCAATTGGCTGCAGCCGCCTGGAGAGCACGCTGGGTGGTGTGCAGGCAACAGCCTTGGGCATTGGGGTTTTTCAAATTCCCAGCCACTGCCACGCTGAAGAGATGAAGAGAGTGGGAACGGGATCGGCTGGGCCAACCCATGGCAACATCTGATCTGGATGCCAGGATTGGGCCCCAGTATTCCCGCACCGCTCAATTGACTGGCGCTGAGCCCCGCAGTCAGCTGTCCCCACTACACAAGTTTTGCTGGGGTGCAGGTTTGAGCACAAAGCAGCTGCTACTCACACTGGACACCAAGTGCAATGTTGATGGCCAGAAGGAAGAGACAAACAGCCAGGACTCCCAGCATCGGACGATTTGTCACTGAAAGAAAAATCAAATCATTTTTGGTGCAATATGCCCTTCATGTCCACAAAATTGTTTCTACCATGTGTGGAATAGAGGAAGGTTTGCCTGGTGTCTTAACTTTCCACTTTTATTTTTGCTAGTATCAAAAGAATTGCTAGATTATCCCCCACTGAGTAAAGCTGGTGTTAGATAGGGTGATTGAAGAGACGGGAAGCCAGGCTCAAACAACAACTCTTTATTCAACTCTGTACAATCCAGCAATTGTCTGCCTGACAGCTTGCCCTTATATAGGGAGCTGTCAGGAGGCTCAACCAATCAGGTTTGAGTATTTTTCCCATTTGTTCAGCGGACCTGAGTGAAGCCTATTGCTTCACTGTTAGTGTCTAACAGCTGGAATAATGTGCAGATAATGGGGCATGATGGAAAAATAATAAAATAAATCTGCAAATTCTTTTCCAATCTCTCCTCCACCTTTTTCTTTATCTATCCTTTCCCTCCTTTCCTGTTGCAAACACTTTTCCTATTTTCTTCTCTGCTGTCTCTGCCCCACCACTT